CTTCAGTAATAATAATAATCAACATAATGATGGTAATATAAGTAATACTAATGATATTAGTAAGCCTATACTAATATTAAAATAATTATAGATATTACTTGGTGAATTTTGTAGAAATGTCATGATTCTCCGTGAAATATAGGCTTATAATTCCAAAGGCGTAAAGTTTAAATTTAACGTCATTAAATTCAAAAGAAGTACATTTAATTCCAAATTCTATACATTTATCATGGAAATCAAATGTATGTACATTATAATTCTCTTTAATCGTATATGTTTGAAGTGTACACAGGCATCCAAATTTATCTTACTTTGGAGAACTGTAAGCCTACGGCGACGGAATATATTAAGATTAATTTTTGGGTCATGCTTTACAACACATTCAGCAGGGCAAAGTGTGAAAACATACAAGGTTGAGACCGTCTCAGAAAATCACAACAACTCATTTACAGGATACTTTTAAGCAAACATAATTATATTAATTGGCAACTATAAATTGTAATGTGATTTATTGACAAGTTCGCTATTTTTTCCCGTTACAGACAGATGAGCGAGATTACATTACCGACCTTGAAAAATATAACCACTAAATGAAAATGACATTGAAGAACCTAAGGCTACAGTGTATGCACACACTTGTAGCTTACACTGACAAAGCTGGATGATTGAACGATATAAGCCCAACCATTGAAAATCACACACAAAAAGTATAGGCCTTAAATGTCTTGACAATAGGAGGCTGGTATTGTACCACCTCGTTGTGGTTTAACAATGCAACAGATATCAGAGTATTAATAATAGTATTATCCGATAACAAATGAAAAGTAGGTAGGAAGGTTATTCCCATAACATGTGATGTTGAGTGGCATTTACTTAGTACTGTTTTTGTTTCATATACAATATTTTTCTGGTTTGCTATTCATAAAAAATACAATATCAGAATCTGTTCATTCAGACATGCTTTAATTCAAGTTTGTATGGTGATTTCCATATCTTCTTTATTGCTGTTTATTTTCACACGGTACCCATTCATACCATTTCACCATACTCTTTTGCAACGCTTTTGTATATTCAATGGAATTATTCTGCTCGTTGCACAAAAAAGTTTTAATCTTTAATTTTAATATCAGACTTCGGCTTATGAATTACGTTTGGAAATTAATGGTGACAAATATTGTTAATGTTTTCTCCTTTGCAGTGGCCTCTACCGCTCAAGACTTTTGCCTTCCAATCCATCGGTCCTGGTTTCAAAATTGTCAAAACCTGTATTTTCCACAACTGGAAAACTCCCACAACCTGAAGACTCAGACCTAGTTAATTATTGATCATCATGATAATAGTTGCAAGTGGCGAGTTATAATATATACCGGTGACAGGTATATATATTTATTTTTCCTCAAACACAGGGGGTTGGCGAAGCCAAGGAGGAACAATGTTCATATATTTCACAAGATGAAGATGAACAAAGTTCAAATATTAAATCACAATGGCTTGTGTCGTTCTATACAAAATTTGGCAGCCCCGTTATGGTAATAGTTGGATGAAAATTTACCATATAATAGGCCTATTTAAGTTTATTAAGTTTGTTTTATACACTATAGTGTCCACTTTTTTATCCTCTCGAATTGAATATTTTAAACCGATTTTTATTTGGATATGTATTTATAGGCACAAATGCCTATACAAAACAGTGTTATGACTATATTCCCGTTTTCTGCATACAGCGGACCGGTGAACATTATTGCTATAATTTTGGTATTTATTTTCTTAGTAGCATAACGTTAAATGAGCTTGTAGAATAAAGACTCGTACGCTTCACAATAAACAGTATAGTCTTACCTGAAACAACTTATGGATTTTGGAAGCGGCAAGATCAAAAGGATTATTATCATTTTCATTATTACCTTTACAAATCGCTTGAAAGCTCTAAAATTCTGATTCCTACATTAACAAATTTTCGTTTATGCATATTTTACTGATTTAGACGTAGCATTTATGATCTTTGTATCAGAATTCCTGTAATTCCATCGTAAAATCCTTCCATGAATCCTTAAATAAAGACTCTTTTCACATAGTAACTAAAATAACTGCTCTTTATATCATCAATGTATCTTAAAAACAAAGATATCATCACTTTTGGTAATTTATCGGTGATTGCTATTTGAATTCGTTCGGATTATCATTCATAATAAGTATAAACTCAATTATTTATAATGCGTTAGTCACCATTACTCTATTCATACGTCGATAGTTAAAAATTCCCAAAAGAGCGATGATTGCATTATTTATCTAAAAATTCCACTTGCCAAAAAGATACAAGATTACGAATTCGTGGTTATTGTGTCTTTTATTCTCTCTTTTTTTTAAACACTAACCTCTAGTTTGGCGGTTAAGATGCTTCCTAATTGTAGATATCTGGGTGACCTGGGTTTTAACCCTCATGACTGCATGAAGATATTATTCTCATGGCTAAAGACTATGTACACACCCTTAGCCTCATAAGGAGACTTAGTCTAAAAGATTATCACTTCCATATTGTAATTAACGAGTCACGAAAGATGAGATTGGGAAAATACTTAAAAAAAAAACCATGATTGAGTGATTCGCAGTAAGTTGAATATATCTATACATCTCATCTAATGTATCACCCAACAAACTTGTACAGACAATACCTTTGAGAACAATGGCAAAGGCTGAACAAACAAAGCAAATCAAATGAAAACTATATTACACATCTACAAGTTCGGCCTTGATGAGTATTGCACAGTAATAAAGGAAAATGAAGTCCAGCCTAGAATTTGGGGAACTATTGTTTCAAAGGAGTAAGTTATTATTAATACTAGCGCCACATTCAGAATTGAGAACTTTCTTCGAATATGAATGTGATGATGAATCATGCTTTTAAAAATACGTTTTTAAAACGTCACTATATAATAATATAAATATTAGACTACAAAACATGATAAAAACGCATTTTTGTTTTAGCCAAAATTCATTTTCACTTATTTTGGTTACTGTTTACAGTATACCCATGGGGAAAATTTCTCCATGGTATACCATATAACTATAATCATCATGGTCAGTGCCAAAATATTACCGCGGAGGCCGAGGAGTCCTTTCGTAAGATATCGTGAGTAAAATAATCTGAAATTGTGCAGGATTTCAAACAAAGACCATAGGAAAAGCGTCTCATCTTCAGTATCTTATTTTTTCTGTCATTTGTATTGTACTGTTCACTAATTTTAATGACTGTCTCTTTCTTTCGATGTATAGATTTCACATAAAACATATGACCGTTTACCTTTACACAGAATGATAGCCTCTTTATTGATGTTAGCCGCGAGTTGGATTATAATAACGTCATCACAAATTCCCTAAAGGAAACGTTATAATTATATATAGCATAATACAACTTCTTTATTATATTATCGTAGTACAATAATTCAATACTGATCACGTGGATATTTTTTTCAGTTGGAAAATATAGGGTTCTGAGATGCTGGTCAATTGATGTTGAAGGCGAAACTAATTGGGATACATACATACATTTATATTATATATAGATATTAATCTCCGGAAGACGATTGAAGCAACTCAATCGAAATGTCGAGACATCCTCAACAAACAACAGTTCATGTCCGAACTATCTACGTGGTGTACTGCAAGTATTAAATGTATTATTAATTCGCATTTCAACATAGGCCTATATACATATATATATATATATATATATATATATATATACATATACATATATATATATATATATATAAGCATATATATATATAGGTACATATAATATAAATCAAGATAGCCGTTAACACTGTTAAATTATATATAATAAATCATCTATTTGTAAAAATCCCTAACATACAAAATTATATTGTACTACAGGCTACTTATTCTTCAGTCTGACAGCAAGTCGACTAAATGAATTTGCAGTTTGTACACCAAACAGTACCGTAGACAATTCTGTAGCCCTTATGGGACAGTTGGGACAGTCCCACACAATTTTTCTAATGGGTCCACAAAGAATGGATCTACATTTTAAAAAATGGGTCCAGATTTCTCATATTTAGCCTAAAATGGATAACATTTTAAGAAAATGGGTCCAGATTTTTCATATTTTTGCATAAAGAATGGGTCAACTTTTAAGAAAATGGGTCCACATTATTTGAATTTACGAGTAAAGTAGGTCCACCCTGACCCTGATATTGTCCCGCAATGTTTGAAAATCCTTACTACGGCATTTACCATAGACAGGCTTGTTATGTATAGATAGACGTACCTATAGCCTAGGCTTATTTTTAAAAACCTGCTTTTGCATCGGTAACTGTTATGCAACAAATGAACAAGAAACACCACAGAAATATTTCATTGATGTCGCTATTACAATCATCGTTTTATTTAGAGATAATCATGATGATGATCACCAACATCATCATTATCTTCATCGCCATTATCATGCTCATCATCATCATATTCATAATTATTATTTGGCCTAGTATTATTATTAATATTATTATTATTATTTGTGTTGCGTTCACAATTTAAATGAAGAACATTATTCACAAGCTTAGAATCAATACAGTTACATAAGTGCAACATTTACCTGTCTATTGTGATCGGCACATGAAAGTAAATTATCAACCGTGCGTGAAATGTTGTGTTCAGTGATTTATTCCGTCTACTAATAGACTAATTGAATAGATTTCAAAATACACGATCTCTATAGAAAGTAGAACGCACGATTTTCTAAGAAGGTCGATATTTGATATATTTTCACACAGTAAATCCTGATAATAGACATCATTATTAAATCGCGTTCATACAGACTTGAACTGCCTAGCATCGAGTCTAATCATCCCTGGGCCCCATTTATAACTGACCAGGAAAATCCGGATCACATGATACAAATGATTATTTGTTTATGTTTTAACGTGCATATAATATAACTTGATATAAATTATATTTAATATGATTAATAATTCAAAACTTACCTCAATTATATTAGGGTGTTTAAGTTGTTGGTGAAGAGATATTTCCTTCATGATTTTGAAATTTGATAGGTTGACGCAATCTTCACGCAAAACGCCTAGTTTGACGCAGCGTTCTAGATCCATTCCATTTTCCATCGCATACTTGATGGCTACAGTTTTCCCCTGAAGCTCGGCCTTGTGGACGACTTTAGTATAGCCATTCCCGATAGGAGTTACCTCAGATACCTGTAATAGTATTTGGCAACCATTAGGCTTGGAGGTAGGCGAGCCTTTAATCACCACTGACGCCGGTGAATTATCCCCCTTGGGTTCTTTGTTTTGGGCCGAATTTAAATAACTGGCCTGAATACGGTGAGTAAATGGACCATTACTCGCTCTGTAGTTTTCTTTGCCTTTGCTCTCTATGTGTTCTGTAAATCCTCTCGTGTATAGAGCTGCATCCATAAGTCTTCTTTGAAAATTCGAATTTCCCACCGACCCAACCTTGGTGTTTCTGTACAACGAAGGGTTGGGTGGTATTCCAAGATTTATTTGTAAAGCAGATATTTCTGCAAGACGCTGGTTAAATTGAGCAGAAACTTCCTTCAGATGTTCCACTAGTGTTGATTGTATATCCCGAGGCGGAATGCTGTCAACGGAAGGATCTCTTGGAAAAGACACCACGGTTTGAAGATCAGGCTTAGGCCTGTTTTGAGATAACAACATCTGGGTTGTAAAAATGATAAAGCAAAGCGAACTCAGACAAAATACGAGGAATGCTTTTTGAAGAAGACGTGTCATTGTGATACCAAAATACCGTAACAAATTCAGCTACTCTAATGACTGGACTTGGATAACTGGACCCATTAACTCCTTTGTCCCCCTACAATAGAAATGGTAAAGATCATTAGAAGGTGTTAAGAACTGACTTGACTTAATAAGGCCTAATGAGCACTAAGTTTTAATCCGTTGTTAACGAATTGTGCTTCTTCGAAGATTTAAAACTTTACTAAATAAAACAAGTATATCGTTATACCATCCTACTCAAAACCTGGATAGAGTGTTGGACAATTGTCCTCATGGACAGTTCATTCCATGTCAAAGGACATTTCTAGCCGCTTGATTCACTCAATGTCAATGGAGAATTCGGAAAGGTTTAGCAAGAAAATCATGGAACTGTCTATATCCTCCATGGTTCACGAAACATTTCAGTGGAAAAAACATTATTCACGATGGAAAAAATTGCTCGTGGTGGGAAAACATTTAATATGCGAGGGAAGAATATTTCGAGGGGAAAACATAATTTCACGGGGAAACATTCACAGGAGACAAAACATAATTCACGGGGCCGCGTCGGTATTTTGTTTCTACTGTATCAGTTAGGGCCTACTAGTTATTAGAAAATCATATACCGTTTCATTTATTCTGGTTTAGATATTATTCCCCGGACGTGAATGATTGACGTTTCATATTGTACAGGTATGGAGTAAGGTTACTTCAATTATCTGAAGATTCTTTATAATTCCGTCGACAATAAATATTTCAAATAAATAATCTAAAAGAAACAGGATATGATATGGTGGTTTACTTCGTAGCACGTGTAATCCATACCGAATGTGGATTTAAAGAAATTTGATTTACTTTACGGTACCAATTTGCAGAGTTTTCTGTTTTCTCAAATTTCAAAACCAATATGAGATGACACTATGGTTATATAATTTACAAAACCTCATTTAACGAGTAGCTCGTTGATGATTTTAAAAAGTCGTGATTGCTCGTGGTATTATGCGTGGGGGATACCGATAATTATTTTCACGTCCTTTTTTCCCATTAGGAATTTAGTATAGAAATTTTGTTTCTAGATAACCGTTCTCCAGACGGTTTTAAGTACGTCTAAAAACTGCAAACAACAGCAAATGGCTTTGGAAATGTACAATCTTGTTGACAAATTGTTAAACCTATATATATACCGTGGTAGGCTAACAGTCGATCGGTGTGTTTGTTAGGTTTACTCAGTGTAGGACTAGTCACCACACACTTTTTTTAAACGGGACCCTGAACCTAGCTTGCATAAGAATTCTAAATTAATTAATAAACGTGAAGTATTTTATTATTTTCAAAGAAGTAAATTACGGTATAGTATAAATAAGCTATATAATACTATACAGTGTAACTCACATCTTGTTTCACCCTTTTTTTCGCTTTCTGATTTTTTTTGGCCCAGAAGAGCTTAGATGGCAATTTGATGTTACGGTTATTTTTATTGTCCTATTGAAGAAGGCCTATCATGAAAAACGCCGCGTAATAGGCCTGTTTGTGAACATTATTATCTGTGAATGCTCTAATATTACCTGTGATATAAATGTCCGTCAAGGGATGAAATATAATGACAAGGTTTTAAACCTGATTCTTCTAGCTTATGAATCACCAGCCTAACACTGAACAAGGCCTCGTAAATAACTGTATATTTATTTTACGTACCCATATAACAATGAGAGATATTCAATTATGGCAAATTGCGTCCCCGAAAGCTGGTTAGTGATCAACACCGTCTCAAATGATTAAAAAGGCAGAAAAGTACATATCTTGTCGTAGTGACCAATTACAAACATTAACCAAAATATTATTGTGAACAACCTTAGATAAATAGGCCTACGCCTACAGTATATCAGCGCTTTTCGTTCAGTGGTTCGTTCTGCACACGAAAGCGTTAACTGACGGCTCGGCAATGTAGGTCTTCATTCATGAATGGCTCTTATTAACGAGCTTATGGTTACAGTCACGGAACTGTTGGCCAATCAGATTGAAGATAGTCACCGGCCTCCAGTACATAGCTCCTGTCCTTTTATGCGGATGAATTGTTTCGAATAACCACCTTAATTGCGAACTTCACTAATGATCCAATAAATGAGATAAGCTATTTTAAACGGTTTATGATGTCGGGACAGGTTGTGTTCATAAGCACTCGGTTGTGAATTTCAATCAAAGGCCTATAAATCAAGCATTCACAATCAAGCTCAGTGTGCACACGGCATTATAATCAAATAATATGTAAAACAAAGGACCAAGTATTATTTACTCATAGTAAATTTTTTACTATATTTTCTCTCATATAATTTTTTTTTCGGTAAATGATTTGAAGTATTTTGTTGATTTAAAGGCTTAGGCTTAGTGGTCATCCTTAATGTCCTAATTCTCGTTTCTTTTTCTCAAGTGTTATTCTCATAGGCAGTTTATGCTTGAGAAGGCACTTTATCCTCATTGTCTCTCTCAACCCAGGAGTACAAGTGGGTACCTGGTCAACTGGAATGCTAATGCATTGAGCGCTAGCTGCAGAATTACAACGTACATTCTCATGAAGCTGGTCGCTTCAATGGCGTTGGATCCAATGACTGTACATATCGTCATCATTATAATACCGTACTCGCGTCCTAAAAAAAATCAATCATACGGTACAGTACAGTACATCACCAACTAATTTTCTGCAACAACTATTCGCATCTATCTTAGCATTGTCAGTCGGTCAGTCCATCTATCCATCTGTCGGTCTATCAGTCTATATTAAGTTTAACATGGTTTTCAGTTTTGATGCATCTTTAGAACCCCTTTCTTGTTTTATTGCTACCCTTTTTGAACTATTTAGAACTACAGTATTTAATATCTAAAAATTAAAATACTGTATAGCTATTTTCAGTCAACAAAAATAAACTGACCCCATCACTCTCGTATCTAAGCAAGAAACCCTGCAATGATCCTGCTAATCTGAATTGGCAGATGGCCAACAGGCTTACCACCACCACCACCACTAATTTCATCTGCTGTTGTGCAAATACCCCCAACTTTGTTGTCATAAGCGATGCTCTCGACGATTACCTTTTCTTCATCAAAACAAAAAAAGTGCCCCTTGAATTTCCCAATTTCACATAAGGGAATTTTCATCTATTTATAAGCGCGCCCTCAATTTTTACTCTGTTTTCATAAGCGCCCCGTTTAAATAAGCGCCCCGGCTGAATAAGCACCCCTTAGAGCCAAAAATATTTTAAGGGCGCTTACTCGCGAGAGTACGGTAATTATAATTATCGTTAATATCAATTAGGCTTATTATTATTACTAGATTTGTTATCATAGGGCCTATTATTATTCTTCTATTATTATTCTTACGGCTACCACCACCACTACTACTACTACAACTACTGTACTAATACTATTATTTAATTTTAATTTTTGTATTCTTTTGTTTGTCATCTAGCACCTCAGTTAGTCACACATTTACGCTCCTCAATGACCGTTAGAAAATAGACCTAATTTTTATTGTCAATTCAAAAAGGAAGGGTAAAGCACGGACAACAATATCTAAAAAAAATCCAATCATAAAACAGCAAGAGACAATCAGAACAAAAGAAAACTATAAAATCCAGCAATTGAAAATTTATAACGTTAAAAGTTAATTAAAAATGATAGTTAATGCGCTGCACGCGCGAATATTACGTGCATTTGTCACAATGCAACTTGTAACGAGTGATTGAAGTAAACTAAATCTTCGATAGAGCGTGTCTTCGTTGTTAGTCGTAATTTCCACACCAAAATGAACACAATCCACGGTGAGAAAACAATAATAATCGACCACATTCTATATGCAGGCTGTCGAACTCCATGATAACCCAGGCCTCACTGCGCCCGGCGGTCATCGTCGGGCGATGCGATTCTATGGAGCACGCAAACTCCAGAACGCGTGCGCAACGGATCGTGTTTAATGACGATCCGTTCAGACTGCCACCGAAAAACAGTAGACGGCGTCGAGTCGCCTAGCGCTCACGGGAAGCGGAGTTGGATTCGTTGTACGACTGTCGTATGGCGCGACGGGTGCCCGATTTTACACATCACATAAAATCCGACCCTCAATGCTTAGAGTCTCACGGGCTGACATCACAACAATAGGCCCACTCCTTCCTCTTTCCACGCCTGTTGAATTCCAATAAATTTTTGATAGACTGTACTCGTGATCACTCCATTACAGAGCCTCTGTCATTATACATTATGCATAACATACTCTTTGTGGTAAGCTGATAAATAAACTTAAACATTTAAATTAAATGTTTTAATTGATGACTCTTGTATTTATTAGCTAGCTTTCAGTTGAATTAAAAGAAAAAACATTAGTTTTCTTGCCAATTAAAAATTAACAGACGCACATTCTCATTGAAATTTGATAAACTTTTGATGATTTCAAAACAAAGGAGGATGAGTCTCTCGGACTCAACTTTACCTTTTTTATGACTCGATAAAAGATTACTGTAATTATTTCTTGTTATTATTATGTTGTTATTAATTTCACTCAAGCGCATAGAGATGTTTTCTTATGATGTTATTAGTTTCACTCAAGCGCAAAGAGACTATTGTAGGCCTATGTGCGCTATAGAATCGCAAATTAGAAAATTGGAAAAAACCAATTCAATGCTTTGTATAATGTTGCAGTACATATCTTTATAAATTAAAAGGAATAACTTCGTGTTAACCTGGTTGCTCCATCCAATACGGTAATCTGGAAAAGACGTGTGATCTTTAGCATTGGAAACGCGCTTAAAAATGATCACACATACCCACAAACGTATAGTACGGTATCAATCAATCAATCAATCAATCAATCAACGTGACATTTATTTCACCAAACAAAAAACAACACACAATGGTGAGGGACCAATTCAGAAGCCTAGGCTTGTCTCCACTGTCCCATTAACAAATACAAAAAACAAAAATTTAAAAAACACAAACAAACCAAAAAAATCATAAAAGTACCTATTCATAATTTGAAATAAATTTCCTTTTTTAGGAGTTTACTAAAAGTCTTAAGAGTATTTGATGTTTTTAGTTTACTATCA